TTGCATGCTAAAATATGACAACACTAACTGTAACCTTACCACCTCTTTGTAAGGTTCACTGAATCTGTGTTTAGATTACTTTTACAAGTCAGCAATTTGTGACAATTATACAAGTATATTTGTAGTTTAATGCAATCTTAAGAATCTTAAGTTAATCTTACAGTATTCACCAAACATCAAAGAAAAAATGTAATTGATACTACTGGATTTTAATTTAATAATCGATATTAATCTACAATTATCATTTGTTTTTTTATATGAAATTATTCCATATTTTCCAAAGAGTTCATAGTTTTTGTACAGTATTTAAATATCAATAAACTAATCTATGAAATTGTTCTTAATCCCTTTATAGTATACAAACTTAAGAATTCATAAAATAGACAAGTTGTAACAAAAATATGACATGGTTACTTCAGGTAACTAAAATTTTAAGCTTATATCTGGCTAATAAATAATTTAAATAATTAAACCAAATTATGAAACATACAGTATTCATAATACATAAGCAATAATTTCCTAATAATAAATTAGGTCTATATGGTACCGTAAGTGTTTCATATTTTTTGTCCAATACACTACATTATGGAATAATACAGATTGCTTGTATCAACCCCCGATTCTGAATGGTCTGTGTTATGATGATACAGTGTAACTGTATTTACTATTATATTAATGTTTTTCTCGGTTATTTTTACTGTCCAGTATCATTACTTATTTAGTCAGTTATAAGTATACGTGATTTTCAACGAAGCTAAATCAAGATAGAGTATAACTATCTCAAAAAATTTTAAGGATTTTTTGTGTTCTATATCTTTACATTAGTTGTAGTCTTAAATATACTAAAATAAGAAACACATTTCCTAACAACGTTAGTATAATTTAGCTTGCAATGATTATTTATAATACTGTATAGTATCTACATTGTAGATTCTACATGTAGTATATTTTATTTAAAGCAAAAAATACTTATACTGTATTAAGTTTTGTTTTAATATTTTATAAATTAGGAGTAATACAATCCTCAATTATCTGTGAGTCTCAATTGATTCTCAATATTTTAATATTCTGTAATTATCACACAATATTTGTAATTCTTTATTCTATTAACTCTTATATAAATATATATATATAATAATAATTTAAATTCATAGCATATTATCATAATTTACCTATATAATATAAGAAAATTCTATGAATATAAAGAATATTATGTAAAATTACTTCCTGTCAATATATTTGATAGAAAATGTTGTCAACAATAATCTATGCATTAATGCTAAGCATTTCTCGACACTTCTCATCAGAAGACTAATTATTAGTTGTGTTTCGAGTTATTAATAGAAACCATAATTTTATTCGCCAATTGTTTCACTTCTAATTAACGATAGTGTTTGCCTTACAATAAAATCTCATAACATTTACTCTATAGTATGCATTGGAATAGTGAATACTGAACAAACTAATAGTCTGTTAATATTTTTGTTATGTTATCAATTATTCTTACATCAAACAAGAATTCTATTATCATGTGGAAAATGCCTGAAAATTTAGATTTGTATTATCACAAAGTAATACATTTTTACAATATATTTTTGCGTCAATAAATGATTATTATTGTAAATAAAATTTTAACTACCGTAACCAAAATTATTATTATTATTTAATGAAATGCTAGAAATTAATTAAATTGGAATTAAGCTTATATACGATATATATATTTATAATGTTCTGCCGTTTCTTAATTCCTTTTGTAATCATTTATTTTCACAAAAGATCTTAAATAATAGATGTATTGAAAATCAGAAATCAATTAAAGCAATAGTTTAATAGTTTGTATTTGTATTTAGATACAGACCGTCGTAGTTGACTAACCCATCGCCGTCCAGATCTGCTTCTCTAATCATATCCTCTACTTCTTCGTCAGTGAGTTTTTCGCCTAAGTTTGTCATAACATGTCTTAGTTCTGAAGCACTGATAAATCCGTCACCATTTCTATCAAATACTCTGAAGGCTTCTCTCAACTCTTCTTCTTTATCCGTTTCCTTCATTTTCTTAGACATCAGATTAAGGAATTCATTGAATTCTATGGTTCCGTTCCCTTGAGGTTTATTTGAATGTGGGAATAAGTGAGTGCACCACAAATGCATGTAAATCAAGGGGACCTACCATCCTGGTCAACCATTGTCACCATATTCTTGAGTTCTATATCAGTGGGTCGTTGTCCTAAGGATCTCATGACAATTCCCAATTCGGTTGCTGTGATCCTTCCGTCTAAGTCTTTGTCGAAAAGCATAAACGCTTCCTTGAATTCCGCCACTTGTTCTTCAGATAAGCCGTATTCTGCCTTTTAGTCAATCAATTCATTAATAATCTTTTATACCATTTATACTATGATTTCATTCATTTGTTTCAAATTGGGTCAATAATTGAAACAAAAATGTTTATATTGCGTGAATTCAATCGTTTCATGATCTCAAATATCAACGAGATCAATTGTTGTTTAAGCTTATATTTAGGAATCGATTCATTTTTGTTCAAATAATCAAATATTTTCTCTATCAAACATCTATTCTTTAATTATAGTTCATATATCTCTAAAATAATGCAAACATTTGTTTGAGAAGCGAAACGAAATGCAGTGAACGGCAAATAATAATTATTTCAACATTTGTTTGTTTTAAACAGAAATTTATATAAAAAGTCTTGAAAATATCTGAGATTTATATGCAGTTTATGCCAAATGTGCGTAAATGCAAAACATCCGCAATGCAGATGAAGGTATGGCTGGGATGTAGGGCTAGGATTCAGGGATAGCAGCAATCATAGGCACTGGCAAACACTGGCATCACTTATGGCTGACTATCACTGAATTTAGAAGATTCTTGCCTTTACTTAATAGGTTTGCGCCAAAAATAAAACTATTGGCAAACCCGGCACTGCTCTGAATGTAAACCATTTGCTATTTGTATTCATGGCTATTGCTTTCATAATTTAGTTAATCATATAATACTATACTTCTTATTATCAGAGTGTTGTGTTTTTTGTGCTTCACCTTCAAGTTTTCAAACAAACATTACATTTCTTTTTGTTATTCTCTAACTTTCTTTAGTTATGAATATTCTGTTGAAATATAACTCTAAAGAACGATAAACTTGTTTTGATGTCTTTCAGTATACACTTCCAAACAAATTCAGATTATGAGATGAGATGGAGAGAGAGAGAGAGAGAGAGAGAGAGAGAGAGAGAGAGAATGTAACTCTTTTCTAAAGATTTAAACGATTATTTGCCAATATTTTGTTATCAAAACCAGACTTATTGGCACTTTTACCATTTCTTATTGAATAAATCATTTACTCATTGAAGTGATTGGAATTTAAAAATAATATTATGTAACATAAATTATA